AATGTTTAGTTATTTCAATGGTATAGTAATAATGTTTAGTTTATCCAGCAGTATAGTAACAATGTTTAGTTTATCTAGAAGTATAGTAATAGTGTTTAGTTTATCCACTAGTGTACTAACAATGTTTAGTTTTTCTAATGGTATAGTAACAATGTTTAGTTTATCCAGCAGTATAGTAATAATGTTTAGTTCTTTGAATGGTATAGTACCAATGTTTAGTTTATCCAGCAGTATAGTAACAAAGTTTAGTTTATCCAGCAGTATAGTAAAAATGTTTAGTTTATCCAGCAGTATAGTAACAATGTTTAGTTTATCTAGAAGTAAAGTAATAGTGTTTAGTTCTTCCACTAGTGTACTAACAATGTTTAGTTTTTCTAATGGTATAGTAACAATGTTTAGTTCTTTGAATGGTATAGTAACAATGTTTAGTTTATCCAGCAGTATAGTAATAATGTTTAGTTATTTCAGTGGTATAGTAACAATGTTTAGTTTATCCAGCAGTATAGTAATAATGTTTAGTTATTTCAATGGTATAGTAATAATGTTTAGTTTATCCAGCAGTATAGTAATAATTTTTAGTTTATCCAGCAGTATAGTAATAATGTTTAGTTATTTCAATGGTATAGTAACAATGTTTAGTTTATCCAGCAGTATAGTAATAATTTTTAGTTTATCCAATGGTATAGTAACAATGTTTAGTTTATCCAGCAGTATAGTAATAATGTTTAGTTTATCCAGCAGTACAGTAATAATGTTTAGTTTATCCAGCAGTATAGTAATAATTGTTAGTTCTTTCAGCAGTATAATAACAATGTTTATATTTTGTAAGGATGACATTCCTTGCTATATTGTACGTACAATAGTCAGACTCTCCTGATGATTTATAGTTTTTTATCAAACTTCCAAGGAATGATAAACAAAATCAGTTGGACATGGTCTAAAATACAAAGAAATGATTAAGATTGCTGTATTTGTTTCACTGAAACCTTGGGCTTATAGTTATTTTCCTTGACCCTCTTGATAAGGTTAGGTAACAGTGAGCATGCCATGACTTTTTACAGAGTTACGTTCTAAGTTTAATTAAACTACTTTATTATCAATCTATATGAATAAATTAGGCATCTTAATGTAGTTAATAAACCAGATTTTAATATACAAGTTTCTTAATTTCTAAAGGAAATATTTAAATATATTCTTAGTCTGCTTGTCCTGTATCGCATGATATTTATTCTCTCTGACCTATCCATTTTCTGATTTTCATTGCCCCTGTGTGTTGTCATGAATTTAGCATAAATTACACATTTATAGTATCATATTACTAAGGTGTTATCTAATTTCTATAGCCTCCAATCTTCTTTGTTTACGGAGGTATAAACCAGAAAGTTTAAAGCACTTATCATTACCCTCCTATTACATCCTCTCTTTCAATAATTCTCTGTAATGTTTGTTATTGTTACATCATTTATGACTAATAGAAAGTTAAGATTTTAATTCACCAAATATTTTATAATGCTAGCTTGTTTCATGACATTTTTTGAGTTATTTGTCATAGTCAGATTCAAAGTTGCTATTGCTGAATTCAGATCGACCGGCTGGAATTATTTCAATTGGTTAGAAAGCCAGTTAAATTACAATAGTTACGGGACATTGTATGCATTGTGCATTTTATTATTTTGTGTTTTTAAGTACATATTAGAAAAAAATAAAGTTATTATATGTACTACTATTGCTTTCAAAAGAAAATAGGGTTAAGTTTTCACAAGAAAATAGTTTTGATGGCAGTTAACAGCCAAAAAAATGAGGCCAGACATAAATACTAAATTTCTTGTTCTTTATCCATATTTCTTTTTAATGTTATAAAATTAACTTAGATGTAAAAATTACTTATTAATAAAAAAAAAGTAATAACAAACTTCTCGATAAGGTAATGCTCGCAAGTAGCTCTTGTTATATGTCATACAGTAACATAATTTGAACATTTGATGCTTGATTTACAGCTTGTATCACAGGATTTTTAGTTAGACTCAGTTCAAAGAGCATTAAAACAATAAAATTAAAAACATCTATTCTGTTATATGCCTTAAGCTGTTTAGGATAAATAATTGTTATTTTCTGTTGCAATCTTTAGTTATTCTAGAAAGAAAAAAGGGTAATTTAGATTTATTTTTTCATTGTGGCTACAGGCACAGTCAAGTTGATCGAGCCCACATAGTGTTACGGTAGAGAAAATAATCGATGACGTATCAAGTTTTATTGAAAAAAATGATATTTATTTTGGAGCCTCTAGAGGTTACAGAAACTAAATTTGAAACTAAGATGAAAAAGTATTTTGAATTTTAACATGAAAAAAACAACTTTGCACTCGGACTAGTCAGAGTCACTCTGAGTCCTTATATTTTAGTGACAAATCTTTAGTAAAAATACTTAATTAAAAAATCTTCTTTTGTATATACAAAAGACTTGTAATGTTACTAAATGTTCACATGAAGATGCAAGAACCCATATAGAGACACTTCGTGAATCATCAGATGATTAAAGTGAGTTGTTGAACCACCTTGTAAACAAAGTTTTATGTAAGTCCTGATGAAAGTGATTTGCTCGAAATGTTGTTTTCCTTCTAATTTAATTAAATTGGTTTTGTTATTTTATAATTTCAAATTCTGTTATTGTCATATCGCACCTATTTTTGTTGTTATGTGTGTTATTTACCACTGGAGTGAGCTGAGCATAAATATGTTTTATGTTTAATAAGTGTTATCTATAGGTAGTATTACTTACAGATTATAGTAAAGTATACTGATACAAGTGTAGTACAGTAAGACAGTAGATGTGTAAAAGTATGTTTTGTGTTTAATAAGTGTTATCTATAGGTAGTATTACTTACAGATTATAGTAAAGTGTACTGATACAAGTGTACTACAGTTAGACAGTAGATGTGTAAAAGTATGTTTTGATGTTTAATAAGTGTTATCTATAGGTAGTATTACTTATAGATTATAGTAAAGTTTACTGATACAAGTGTACTACAGTAAGAAAGTAGATGTGTAAAAGTATGTTTTATGTTTAATAAGTGTTATCTATAGGTAGTATTACTTACAGATTATAGTAAAGTTTACTGATACAAGTGTACTACAGTAAGAAAGTAGATGTGTAAAAGTATGTTTTGTGTTTAATAAGTGTTATCTCTCAGATAATACTACTCGTAGATTATAGTTTGGCTTTATTACATTAAAAATAAAATATTTTTGTGTTTAATAAATGTTATTTTGTTTAAAAAACGAAAGCTTTGGTAAATTTTTTCTACAAGGAATCAAATATTCATCTTTGTATTTTTCATTTTTGAGGAACCTGTTTGTTTACGTGGTTTCCTTTACAGCCTAAAAGTGATCCAAGTCATCAAGTCTTAATGGCTGGAATCCCTCTTGCTGTGTTAGACAGTGCCATCTGTTGGTGGATATCCTTTTATTTATCACATTATAATTATTTACTTTCCATTTTTAACTGGTTGTATTTTATTATTTTTAAATTTGTTTGATATGAGCCAAAACCATTAGTTTATGAAATTGCATAAATTCATGAAGGTCAAATTTGATCTTTTATACACTCTGTAACTTTTTCACATTTCACATGTTGGGAATTAAAATACTAAAATGGGTTTCATAAAGTTCAGTAGAATACTACGTTGTTACTAGTTGTGAAAAAAGTAAAACAAATACACTTTTTAATTCTTTGAAATAAAGTTTTTGGTCTTGATATAACCTTGGAAAAATAGACGTTGCACTCTTCATAAAACCTGGAAAAAATAGACACTAGTCTTGTTATAACCTGGGAAAAATAGACACTAGTCTTGACAATACGTTGGAAAAATAGACATTGCACTCTTGATATAACCTTGGAAAAATAGACGTTGGTATTGATATAACCTGGGAAAATAGACACTAGTCTTGTTAAAACCTGGGAGAAATAGACATTAGTCTTGATATAACCTGGGAAAATACATTAGTCTTGATATAACCTGGGAAAAACATACATTGCACTCTTGATATAACCTGGAAAAAATAGATGTTGGTATTGATATAACCTGGAACAAATAGACATTGCGCTCTTGATATAACCTGAGAAAAACATACATTACACTCTTGGTATAACCTGGGAAAAATAGACATTAGTCTTGACATAACCTTGGAAAAATAGACATTGCACTCTTGATATAACCTGGGAAAAATAGATGTTGGTATTGATATAACCTGTGAAAAATAGACATTAGTCTTGATATAACCTGGGAAAAATACATTGGTCTTGATATAACCTGGGAAAAACATACATTGCACTCTTGATATAACCTGGAAAAAATACATTAGTTTTGATATAACCTTGGAAAATTAGACATTGCACTCTTGATATAACCTTGGAAAATTAGACATTCTACTCTTGATATAACCTGGGAAAAAAACGTACATTACATTCTTGATATAACCTGGGGAAATTAGGCATTGCACTGTTGATATAACCTGGGAAAAACATACATTACACTTTTGATATAACCTGGGAAGAATACATTAGTCTTGATATAACCTTGGAAAATTAGACATTCTACTCTTGATATAACCTGGGAAAAAACGTACATTACATTCTTGATATAACCTGGGAAAAACATACATTACACTTTTGATATAACCTGGGGAAAATACATTAGTCTTGATATAACCTGGGAAAATTAGACATTGCACTCTTGATATAACCTGGGAAAATTAGACATTCTACTCTTGATATAACCTGGGAAAAAACGTACATTACATTTTTGATATAACCTGGGGAAATTAGGCATTGCATTCTTGATATAACCTGGGAAAAACATACATTACACTCTTGATATAACTTGAGAAAAATAGACATTAGTATTCCAGTTGTTTTGTGAGTCTTGAATGCACATATCGATTATCAGGTGTGACTCTTCTGATGATAAAGTGTTAATTGTTTTTCCTGTATTTTTTGTAGTTAACTATGTTTAGTTTTGTTTAGGTAAAAGAGAAATGGCAGAGTATATATATTTATTGATGTTTTTAGACTACTTTGTTCTGATGTTCTGTACTATTCTAACTTCAAAATTGGATATTGTCCTTGACATAGTTACATCTTCAGCTGCTTGGTGCAGACAACCCGCACCCTTCGCCTTCGTCGAAACATTGTGAAACTTTCTCTTTACAGACATTTCACTAACACACTTATTTTTGCTGTTCTAGGTAAAATGTTTATTATTCTGCTTATAAATAAAGTATGCATGTTAAAATAAAATGCAAGGAGTTATCTTGAGATGCTGTATTTTGTTTATAACATGCAGTTCCTGTGTTTAAATGAAGACAAGTACATTAGGGGTCATATAAATTATAATATGAAACATAATGACTCATAATGATAGGACTAGGCAATTAATTCAATAGATTATATTAATTAATGTCGAGCAAAGTTATTGATTGATTAAAATTATGATTAAATTGATTAATGTCACAAAAATTATTAATCAAAGTTAGTGTTTCCATTATTATTAAGTTTGATTATTGTAACTCTCTTGAAGTAATTCAAACATTGCCGTTATGATTACTTAAATTATTTTTGATTAATTTAAGTTTATTCAACTTAATACCATTAGTGTCAAGACTCGTGAAAAGGAATTTTGATTCAGTATTTTTGCAGATTCAAAATAATAAATTTATGGTTCATTTCATACTATAATATTATCTGTGTACAAAATAATGACAAATTTTTATACCCATGGGAATCTTATTCTCATCTAACAAGTGAAATAATACATGCTGTGAAGTTTACTGGTCCTTTTTATACCCATGTGAATCTTATTCTCATCAAACAAGTGAAATAACACATAGTGTGAAGTTTATTGGTCCTTTTTATACCTATGTGAATCTTATTCTCATCTAACAAGTGAAATAACACATGCTGTGACGTTTACTGGTCCTTTTTATACACATGTGAATCTTATTCTCATCTAATAAGTGAAATAACACATAGTGTGAAGTTTACTGGTTCCTTTTATACCCATGTGAATCTTATTCTCATCTAACAAGTGAAATAACACATGGTGGTAGGTTTCCTGTTTCCTTTTATACCCATATGAACCT